AAAGAATTGCCCGATCTGCGTTTCTATACTATAAAAGGGGCGATCTACATTGCCCATTTTTGGTAATGTGCCCGACTACTGTATTTAAAAAATAAATACGTATATTATAAAATTGTTTCAATATGAATTCCTTTCAAAATTTTAATAACGTTTTAGAGGCTTACAACATGTCTCTTGAAAATGATCAAATGTTCCCTCGCATACTTAATGGAGTTGAAAACAGAATTCTCGAATTTAAAATTGAAAATGTCACCTTTCATTGCGAACTTCCTGCACCAAACGAATTTCCTTTCCGATCTGAAAGATTCAAAAAATTAAATGATTTTACTATATTTCGAAAAATTATTCAACAACATTTACAAAATCACTCGTACAAACTAAAAAGTTGTCATATTTCAAACGTTGATATTTCAGCTTTTTCAGGAAAACTTTGGGTGTATAGTTCGCGAACTTTTAAAGATATGTTCAATATGTACGCCAAAGAAGTTAACAAAGGGAGGGTGAAGATACAGTTGAACATTGTTAATATAATTGAAACAAGCAAAAAGAAAAAATCTAAAAGAATGTATTATCAAAACTTAGCAGAGATAAGTGATTCTTCTGGAATATTTTTCGTCGATTCCTGTTATGAAAACGAAATTGTAGTTGAAAAAGACGAACATAAGGCATTCATTTATTATCAAAAATTTGCAGAGATGGGTAATACTAGTGGAATATATAATGTTGGATATTGTTATGATGAAGGAATTGGAGTTGAAAAGGATGAACATAATGCATTCATTTATTATCAAAAAGCTGCAGAGATGGGAGATGTCAGTGGAACGCATAATGTTGGATATTGTTATCAACATGGAATTGGAGTTGAAAAGAATGAAAATAAGGCATTCATTTATTATCAAAAATCTGCAGAGATGGGGGATGCCGATGGAACATATAATGTTGGATATTGTTATAAAAAAGGAATTGGAGTTGAAAAGGATGAACATAAGGCATTCATTTATTATCAAAAATCTGCTGAGACGGGTAATTCCGATGGAATATTTGCACTTGGTAACTGTTATATTGATGGAATTGGAGTTGAAAAAGATGAACATAAGGCATTCATTTATTATCAAAAATCTGCAGAGATGGGAGATGTCAGTGGAACATATAATGTTGGATATTGTTATAAAAAAGGAATTGGAGTTGAACAGGATGAACATAAGGCATTCATTTATTATCAAAAATCTGCAGAGATGGGTAATTCTGATGGAATATTTGCACTTGGTAACTGTTATGAATATGGAATTGGAGTTGAAAGGAATAAACATAAGGCATTCATGTATTATGAAAAAGCTGCAAAGATGGGAAACGCTTTAGGAATATTTAACGTTGGAGTTTGTTACGATTATGGATTTTGTGTCACAAAGAACAATAGGAATGCATTTAAATATTATAAAAAATCAGCAGAAATGGGACATGCGGATGGAATGTATTATGTTGGCGAATTTTACCGGACAGGAATTGTCGTTAAAAAGAATATTGATATTGCTTTTGAATGGTATTTAAAATCTGCTATTACAGAACAAATCACTACTGCAGAAAAAAAAAATTTTTTTCATTGGATACCATATGATAAATTTGAAAATGTTGAAGAGATCGGCAAAGGAGCATTCTCTACCGTTTTTAAAACAAAATATTTGAACCAATATGGATTATATGAAAATGTAGCAATTAAGATTGTAAAGGATTCTAATAAAAATAAAGACCCATTTTTGAAAGAGGTAACTTTTTTTTATTAAACAATTTTAACATTTATTATTAATTTCGAATTAATTAATTAATTTTTTTTTTTTTAGCTAAAAGCTTGTCACAGCTTATCACAATATTTGGGAATATCTAGAGATAAAAAAACAAAAGACTATATTTTAGTACTTAGTTATGCAAAATATGGATCGTTAAGTAAAAACCTTATTAATATCTTTAAATTTGAATGGCAAATTAAATTACAGATACTCCGTGATATAATGTTTAATCTTTATCATATTCATTCTAAAGGATATTTACATAGAGATTTACATCCTGGAAATATCTTGTTAAGGGAAAATTATGAAGCGTAGATTACTGATCTAGGTTTATCAAAACCACTTGATGAAAAAGAACAAGAAGAATGTATTCATGGAGTTTTACCTTATATCGCACCAGAACTCTTTGAAAAAAAACCATACACAAAAGCATCAGATATTTATTCATTTGGAATTATTATGGTCGAGATGACAACTGGACAAAGGCCTTTTAATGATCATACTCATGATATTGGTCTAGTATTTGAGATTTGTAATTATGAGTTACGGCCAAAATTTGCACCTGGTACTCCTGATTGCTATGTTGAGTTGGCAAATCAATGCATAAATTCAGATCCAGAAAAACGGCCTAATATTATGGAAATAATTACTAAACTAGATGAATGGTTGAATATTATCGAAAATGAGAATGAAAGTAGAATTAGAAAGCAATTCTTAGAAAGTGATGAGATCAGTAAAAATTCACCTATTATTACTGAAAAATTGAACAATATATATATAAGCAAACCATATGATATATCAGAAATTGGTGCAAATTTATCAAAAAAATATAGTTCTAAAACTGTTGGTGATATAGAAATTCCGTATGATAATTAGCTAATCAATTATGTTTAAACGATAAATTTAAAATTTTTTGTGTGGGATTTATTAAGAAATTAAGCGGGATTATTAATAAGAAATTAAGCTTTAAACTATCCAGTGATGATGTATCATGCTTTCCACCTCTTTTCATTGCTTACTAATGTTGTCAAATTTCATGTGATGTTAACTGAAAAATCTACTGCAAGCAGCCTAAGCTAGTGAGGTAATATGGTACGTGCTTTTTTCGAATGACGTTTATTCGCACGTCTGGTAAACATAATTGCACGTATGGATTCTGTGCCAGAGATTGGAATCGAATCTTTAATTCACTGAATATTCGAATTAATTCGATTTAAAAATTAAATTCGAATTAAATTCGAATATTCATGCATAAATATGCTTGAAAAATGGATGTTATATAAGGCAGTTATGGTAAACGACCTAAAATGACCCAAATGACCCAAATGACAAATAACTAGTCATTAGGTCATTTCAAGAACCAAATGACCTAGAAGGTCATTTAACTAATGCCCTTCAGCCAATCAGAATTGGCCGTCAAAAAATTCAGATATACTGTATAACAATTCTTAATAATAAATTTCATATTTATAATAATTAAGGCTTTTGTATTTTTTAATGAAGTTATTTAAGTAACTTGTTATAAAGTATAAATTTACAATCCGCTAATTGCAATATAACTAAAATTATTATCTATTTCTATTAAATGAAATGTATATATAATAGTGGGTAATTTTAGCGAATATAGTAGAAATATATAAACTGATCTTATATATAATAATCTCATTAATTTTACACTAATTCACAACTATTACTGATATTCTATTATTCTATTACATTTAATACTGTATATACATTGCTCTTTATTCATTTCATTCACAATTTATATATATATATTGGACGCTTTCTATCAAGAATATATGTGTGTCGAAAAAAGAAAACCAGAAAATTCAAATATAAATCATATTTAAATTTTCGGGTTTTCTTTTAGAGACACTCATATTCACTCTAAATAATAAAATGAAAACATGCGATAAGAATGAAGTTGTAACTGTTTAACTATATTTTGTTAAATCAAAACCATGAATAAAGTAAACTTTGAAAATAATTATAAACGTTAAAAAAGCACATGAAAATTAATAACAAAAAAACTAAAAGTTTTTACTCGTTCTTTGCATCAATATCAATATCATTATTCGCATTATTTATTTCTTCTGTCGCATTAATTTTGATAGATTCTTTTATTTTCGAAGTTCTTTTTACCATGAACCATATATATAATGGTCACAAGCAAACAGAAATAATTCTTTTCCACCTGCTCTAACCATAAAATTAACTCAAGGCTCTTTATCTAATTTAACATGTGCCATATGCTCAATAATGTCTTTTCTTATAGCCATTTCAAGGCAAAAACCACATATCAGATATGATGATATAATCACAAGTTCCTATAAATAAAAGTTGGCAATTAAGCTTAAATGTTATATAAAGGGATATTGATAAAAAGTAAACTTACAAGAAACTAGGCTTATGTAATCGTAATTAAATTAATCTGTAATCGCGATAGTCACTTTGACTAGAACTATACTTTCCGCTAAGCATAACGCTTAATCCTACTATTTCCATACTTCCTCTAACCATTTTTTACCCTCTTATCTAAGCTTTGCCTATGTCTAGTCACTCCGCCTTATCCTTCTTTCAACCTTAGTCTAAGTTTAGCTCATTCTGCCTTAAATAACAACAAGTAAAGAATCTTTAGATATATAAAAAATAAACGGAAATAACGAATTAACAAATATCATGACTCTTAATACGTAACCCAAGTCTTAGACACCCGCTTAGTCCCATTATACTCTTGTGACTCAAGGCTTATACATATCTTCGTTACGACCCGTACACTATCCAGTCACGATTTTCTTAAAAGATAATGAACGAACTTAAATCAATTACTTGAGTTACTAAAATTGCATAATCGAGAAACTTCATATATAAAATGCAGAATTCGCAACCATCACATAATTGACCTCATTCATACTGCATAATTTACCCTATCGAATCGCATAATTCTGGACACCCTAAGGTAGCCACACATCGGCGTCACGGGAACCACCAAATGAAATCGGGCGCAATGCCACAAAAGGAAGCTAATTGAAGCCGAGAATCATATGTGAGCAATGCAGCGACATGGTCAGCGATGCAAAAATACAACGCAAAATATTTGTGATTTGTGATGGGCAAATCGCAATTTTTCAAAATATCGCGCACCCGCGCGTGATTCGCTGGATAGGTTACCGGAATTTCTGTAAATTTCGGCCGGAATTAGGTATTGGCCAGAATTATAAAAAATCCCACGCATCACGTGACGGATCACGCGCGCGTTGTTCAAAGAGAACGGAGGATGTATAAAAGATCTCAGACCAAAAATGCAGGTACATCGATGTTAAAACCAGAAAAGAAATTTCTCGCCAACCAAATCGAAACAAGCCACGTGATTCCTACCATTTCTCTGCTCACAGTTATTGTATCTCTACACTAGTGATCTCATGCCCGGCTTGTGACTAGACTAACTAAAAGTACAAACAAGGGCATGAATGATCTCTGGCATGAAGTCATTGGACATTTTTGAATCAAAGGCACAAAATATTAGGCACAAGCTGGGCACTTGGTATTATATATAAGCATAAAGGCCTATTCTTAAATTACTAGGCATTAGGGCACAAACTGTCTGCCCCTAAGGTGCCTAAAACTTTACATGCGTGCCTACAAAATACCTGAAACTTTTGTGTACATGGCACGGGTTTGTTCGGCACGGGCATTTGTAGATCCCTATCTATATTCACAGTTGGCTTGCTTCGGCAACTTCGGCAAGTTGAAAGCACCGGCTTATTAATCCTACGGCGACTCCTAGCGCAATATTTATTGTAATTTTCTCGGGATGTAATTGCCGTTCATGGCCAATAGTTTGCTTCTTAGTCATGCACTAGACTGTTTATATCATATAACTGTTAAATAAAATCGCTTCTTACCTAAAAGTAAATTGTATGATCTAAAAAAAAAAAAAACAATAAAGAACAAAAAATACAAATACCGAATAAGTGTGTGAGACGATGCTTTTTGATCTACTTAATTTTATATGTGAGTTTACCAACACCACTAGTAGACAAACGTTATATCTCAAAAATCTAATAAACCAAGGTCGGATTTATTAAGTACAATCTCCAAAACTCTTATTTTATGCTAATCAAAATTTGAACTTTTATATTCAAACTTTTTTTAATTATAACTACATACTGACTCAAATTTTATATAGAAAGTTAATCTTTTTTAAATTTAACTTTTTCTGAATCTTCTTTTCTTTAAATATTATTTTCTGCATTTATTCAACGGCATAAACATTTGAATTATCAAATATTTTTTAAATTGCTATTTCTGATTTCGTTATACGTAATTACGAAATCTTTATAATAATGCAAGTTATCAAAAAAAACACAACCCTGGATACAAAAAAACACAACCTCGGATACAAAAAACACAACCCTGGATACAAAAAAACACAACCTCGGATACAAAAAACACAACCCTGGATACAAAAAAACACAACCTCGGATACTCTGAGTTTACTAATTTCTCCTCCACTTCGATATCGGAGCAATTTTTAGTACATACTTCATTACTCTCTTTTGGGCCTTAAGGATGTTTGAGAAATTCCATCCCTACTTCTAAATTTAATATAAAAGTATCTAACAATTTTCAATAAAGCATAAGCAAAACCACTACTTAACACTAAAAATAGAATGACAGCAACACCATAAACATCCAAATAATTTCCCCTAATAAAACCCATTCTCGTATCAGGAGTAATCCAATCTCTTAATAAATATTCATTATTAATCCTAAATCCAGTATTTTCATCTTTAACACCTTCATACTTTACCGTATTCATCACTACTTCAATTAAATCGGCACCTCTGTATTTTCTTTTGCTATTAAGTTTGGCCAAAAATTGTAATCTTTCAGCATTCATCTTAAAGCTTTCTTCATTTAATAATCTTTTAATTTTTGATACAATATCATCAACATTTAAATTAATCTTTGAAAGTCTCAAAGCTATACCAGCCAACTCTAACTTTTCAGCGTTTCTAGGCTGATCACCAAATATAGGAAGCACTAGCATTGGCGTTGCAGTATACATAGATTCATGACAACTAGAGATGCCACCATGACTTAAAAATACTTTAACGTTTTCATGAGATAGTATTGCGAATTGAGGAGAATATTTGGAGACATGAATATGAGGATATTCATTATTTAATATAGAAGACAATGGTATACTAGAATTGGCTAATTGAGAAAATTTTGAGATATCTGTATTTCCATAAGACCAAATCACACCATCAATAACGTTTTGATCGATTAATTCAAGAAAAGATTTTAAAATGATGATAGCTTTTTGAAGAGGCATGATTGCATTAGTCCCAAATGCAAAATATATTGTTCGAGGATGAGCAGAAAGAAATGAGTCGAGAACCGGAGTTAAACTTGGAAAAGTGTCAGGTAGAATTGGACCAATTTCTTGATGTAGTGATGAATCAGCACTTGGTATCTATTCAATAATAATCATAAAATGATTTATTGTATTTAGCATAAAATGTGTATAATTTGTAATTTGCTAAATGATAATCAATTAAATAAACATCAAGAATTAAATATATAATCACCTCAAACCCAAAAAAATTATTGGTCAACATTAAAATATTTGATATTCTTCCTTTCATACTCCAAAGAGGATCTACACCCACAATTGCTCTTTGAACATTAAGACCCTTTATAGTGTCTAATGTATTCCAAGCATGTCTTAGAGGAAATATGATCGCACATTTAAATCTGTTATAAAATGATTCATTTTCCATATTCGCATGACATTCACGCCCATACATAGGAGTCGATTTATATGGTGGAGCAGATACTAATAAACGAGAATCAATATCAGTTTATATGTATTTTTAATACAGTAATAAGATTATAAAATAAAATTAATATGCACATACTATAAAATATATCCATGAAAATTCCAACAGCCGGCTTTCCCAACTTCCAAGCGAGATCAAAGCATGGATAATTTATTAAATAATCGCAAAAGAATAAATCAGCGTTGATTTCTTTAGCAACTTGCTCATAGATGTTATAAAAAGGCAAGTAGGATTTAACAGCAGCAATTTTTATAATGGTATTTAATTTAAAATAATCTTCCTCATTAAATGCAGTCCTCATTTCTGATGGACGTTCGCGATCAAAGTATTCATTTTCAAAAATAACTTGTGGAATTGAACGATAATGGATAGATTGGGCCGTAAAGTTTCCTGGAGATATTAACGTTGCCTAAAAATCGAATAAATAGTAAGAAAATTAATTATCAAGCATAAGTTATTAATAAATGATAAAAGTATACATTATATCCTCGCTTCATTAAAATTTTCAAAATTTCTAACATTTGAGGAAGATGGGTTGCTATAATTATTAAAATTATTATTAAAATGAATTGTACTTATTATAAATAATAATAATAATAAAATGTACTAAAATAATAAACTTACTTCCAATTACAGAAGTAGCGAGTATATTCTTGGGCACACTACTTCTATTCAACGACATGTCTCGACTAATCAAATCTGCGGATTCGATAAATTGATTTATAAAAATAGTAATAAATATGGCGAGATGCCAAAGAGTAATCGACGGAAATAAATTTTTTAGAAGCATTTTTTTTTTTTATTTTAATGAGTTTTTTATGTGCGAGAAAACTTATTTTCCGTTTAATTACATATAATTAATCACACATTAGACCCTAAAATTTTAAACCGTCCTAGAATCACCCAAATTTAAAAGTTCACGTATCTATTTACGTAATTGATCTTTAGAATGATCTTGGTTCATCAAACTTTTAGGGTACATACGTACGTACGTACGTACTTATAATAAATTACGTATTGTCACATACATACTATGATTAATAATCATTAGATAACGATAATCGTTAAATATAATAATAAATAGATGTCGGACGGAATTCGTAACTACCAATCAATAAAGCTACATTTCTGAATTTTTAAAAGTAATTGAGGAATTCGTCGAAGATTTTTACCGCATTTGGAGATTCATTAAAAGCCCAGCTGCTTTAATCAGTTTAATAAATTTGAATGATATATGTCATATTATTTTACTGTATCCTATTAGCATAGTTGTGAACTTTGGGAAATGATTGACGTCCAAATTAAGCGAAAAATGGTTATAAAAGGAAATTATGATTTCACGGGTTTTATAAAACTCTGGTATCTTCATTCTTGATCTTGTGTTCTCGCTTGTTGTGCTTTCTCTGAACGGATGTCGTATTTATATAAAAACCAAAAAAGAAAAAATTTAACCATATAAAATAGAATGTCGAGTATTTTTTTCGTGTTACATATTTGAATGTTTAGAAAACGATGTATCATACGATAGTTTTAGAAATCTTTATCGTTACATATAATCGATTTACAAATATTTCTTTGAAAAATAGATTTATATAATATTTTAGGATTCTGTGCTGTGCTATCCTCAGGTGTTGTTACGTAAAAAGACGTAACAAA